CATAGCACTTTGCTTGAGAAAAGAGAGTCTCTAAAGACAGAAGGTCAGGACCATTGCTCAGGGAACCAGCGGATTCCGCAGAAAAACATCAAGAAGCAGTGTCCATTGTAAGGGATTTAATCAGCATTTGGAATAGCTTAAAACCCTTTTGACTTTAAATATCACCAAGTTACAGAAACAAAACTATACTGGTTGTGTGGCATTCTTATATACAGGTGGACAGGACATTGCGTCCTAGTAAACCCTGCATTGCACGGGGACCATGTGACATTGAAGGTATGTGGAGTTGGAGCATAACCATTAAACAGCATGCCGCTGTTAGGCAGAAAAAAAAAACACCAACACTAAACACCAGCCTGGGAAACTGTATAGGACTGCTAAACCAAAAGCAAATGGAACTCAAGCAGACAAAAAAGTAGGACATCGTAAAAAGATAAAGAGATTTAAAAAGACACTCCTTTCATTTTTTTCTAAACAGGGACCTAGAAAAATGTATACAACTACTAGGCCAAATACCACTGGAACCATAAAAATGAATAATATGGTATGAAGATAAAGAGCCTTCACATTAGCTGATGGAAGTTTCCATAAACAGCTTGCAGAGAAGATACACAACATGTGAAGGTTTGAGGGAACCCAGGCTTAGTGTATATCCTAACCTGGTCATTTCCATACATGGTCTCCTCAATCCATGGAGTTCTAATGCAAATCACTAAATGTCACAACACAAGTCGTTTTCTGTCTGCTGACTACAAGGGATGGCACGCGTTCCTAGCAGAAAAATGTGTACAATGGCTCTGTATGGGGGCTGGAATTTCATTCTTGGAGACTTTCGAGCTTCAAAAGCTGTAAATGATTAGCTTTAAAAGTAAAATCATTTCACCTGACTAAATAAAGGAATTATTCCACCTGATATACAGAGTCTAAGAGAATACCTTTAGAGCTATTGGTACGTTCTCAATGTAGCCAAAGGCTAAAATCTGAGACATGGTAAGGAAAATTAGGCTCTCAGTAACTTGCTTGCATTCCTTTGTAAGCAATAACTACCCACTGTTTAAAGGCAAAGGCCACCTTTAAAAAATAACAAATCCACATACAGGATGCTGAGGTTGGATTTCTATTCAGGTTGTTTTTTTTAATTATACCAGGTTACAAAAAAAAAATCTAGTCTTAAAATACACCCCATGTCTAGTAGAAGGATGCAATGTGCCATATGTCATCCTCCTCCAGGCTCTGCTGAAAATGATAAAGCAAAACAGACAAACGCACTGAACAATTTGTTACCAGTTATACAGTAAGGTGCACACGAAATGGGCTTTGAACAGTAGAACAGTAGAAAGGCATCATGGCACACTCACAAACCAGCATGTAAAACAACTTGTCTCACCACTAAGGAAAATGACAGAGGTTTGGATACACGTCTTCTCCTTTGTTTTGCTTTACCGTTTGGTGCAGCGACGCATGGGGTTTCTCAGCTGCCAATGGGATGTGCGGGATCCCTTGTGTGTTTCTGTACCTTTAAGGAGGTGGGGCGTCCTCCTGACAGGCCTGCACCCAATTTGATATCTTCTGCCCCCATGTGCTCCAAGATGGAGACTCTCATAGTTTAGAGTTAGGACCGCACTATAAGAGGTGCCTTGGCGCGGCAGTGCGGCTTACACATCCTTTGCAGAAGACGTGTATCCAAACCTCTGTCATTGTCCTTAGTGGTGAGACAAGTTGTTTTACATGCTGGTTTGTGAGTGTGCCATGATGCCTTTCTACTGTTCTGCTGAAAATGAGCCACAGTGGCAAAGAGGTTTTTAGGACTCCCGATAGCACAACGATTTGTTAAACCCAATTTTTCACTTTAAAAATGGATCAAAATCAATTTTAGTGCAGAAAAACTAAATATCATACCCAAATGGTAAAAGGTTGTGTTAAGTAAACAGATACCAAAAACACACTGCATCAGGCTAAACTGCATTGAAATGGGGAAAAAGCTTGGTACCCAAAATTGTTCATAGGCATCGCTTTAAAAGCCTTCACTGGTCATCAGTTTAGTGTTAACTATGAATGATGGCCCTCAAATGTTTACTCCCACTCTGGCATGCGATACCAAACATGTGCAGCACAACCGTAATTTTTATACATAAGCACACCCAAAGTATGCATTTACCCATATACGTGCCTGTGTGTTTGGGGTGGGGAGGTGGTTTTTGTTTTTACTTTTTTTGCCATCACATAGTAGTCTCTTTATTGATACATATCACCCCTCATGGACGCTAAATCAAGTACAGATCAAGATTGATTAGTTTCATCCCTGGCCACAGCGTATCGCTGAACGGCAAAGTGACAGGAACCTGTAAGCATTGCACATTTTTTCAGTGGAGGGAAGATATTCGCTGATCTTCCTCCACTAACTTAATGACACATGCCATGCACCAGTTCTAAACAGAACGCATATGTAACAACATTTTATCACCCATCTACCTCCCCACACGAGTACAAATTCATATACAAAAAGAGACAAACCACCACCAATAATACATATAATTTAATTGGAATATAATTTTAATAAACCGTACCATATTTTTTGGTAAAGTATAAAGATGAGGTTGTGCTTAATACAGAGATTGCAAATATGTCTAACCTTTAAAAAAAAAAAAAAAACCACAACAGTACCCAAAATTGTTCATAGATGACACTTTAAAAGTCTTTACAGTTCGTTAGTTTAAAGCCAACCATGACTGTTGGTCCTACAATTGTTGTTCTCACTCTGGCATGCACAGCGATTCCAAATGTGTGGCGCAACTGTTTTGTTTTTTTTGTATGCATGCATTTGTATGTGCTTATACGCAGGGGATTCCTGATCATTTTTATTGACCTTGTTTACACTGGTTAGCTGCTGGAATGCACCGTATCGCATACTAAACTCCTCCGTGTTCTGGGGCAGGAGGGGGCCCGCAGTGTGATAGCCTGCACCAGAACGTGTGGCACAACAATACCTGCATTCCAATCCAGTGCGATGGGGAAAAAAAAAAGTGCATGCAGCATTTTTTGAGATTACACTGGACCGGAACGTAGGAATTGTTGTGCCACGCGTTTTGGTGCCATTGACTTGCATGCACTGCCAAACCCCCTCCTGCCCCAGAAAGCAGGGGTGAGTTTAGTGCAGCACAGCTAACTGTGCTGGAATACACTAATTGGTGTGAACAAGCTCTCATACTAATTAATTTTTCTATTTTTTTTTCTTTTACTGCGAACACAAGGGGCTGCATTTTCAAGCAGATCAGCACATTACTTCTACTGGAAAGCCAGCAGTAAAAACGTAAGCACGGCTAGATGTAGTATTTACATCCCGTGGCAGGGAAAGTGTTAAAGTATATGTTCAGCTAAAAAAAATGTTTTTGAAAAAGGCAAGGATTGCAACCACTAATACAAATTGTTCCTGCCAGATAGAATCACTCTATTGGTCCTGATGACCACTGTCATGAGACAAAGTGACGGGAAACCCAAAATTTAAGAGGGGTCACTAGAACAAAAAGCAGGGATAAATCTTCCAATGGGAAGACCTATTCAAGTGATGAAGAGGGAATTCTGTTAACGTTGGAGACATTTCTTCTTATTTCCTGTTGCATCTCCAGGACAGGAATAAATGGGGCATCTCACCTCAAAGATCTCCTTTAAGGCTTACACAGCTCTGCCACAACATAGTTAGTAACTTTTCCCAACTATTGGTAAGCAGAAGGATACCACTCCAGGCAATCTTTTAGCTCATTCACCAACCCAGGGAGCCAGCTAGACGGGGCCTGTCCACCCCCATATGAACCACTGTTGCTTCTTTTTTCTTTTTTTAAAACTTAAAAAAAGACACATCACCATTTGAGTAAATATACAGCAAACTATGGCACATAATTCTCCGCCTTACCCTGCTCCAACATGTTTCACCCCAAAAACGGGTTTAAGCTGCTCGTATACTAGTTGATCTTCATACGAGTGTTCTAGCAAAAACATTTTGTCAGAACATTTGATAATGCCATGAGTCTTGACTAATGTTCTAAATTTGGTTTAATTTTAACATTCAATTTTGGAATAAACGTTGCCTCTGGGACGAACACCACATTTACTGTCAGAATTTTGTTTGAGAAAATTTTCCATTCTGCTCCTTTGAATTTTATTGCTACGGTCAAAAAAAAAAAAAAAGTTGATTTGACCCCCACTAATGATTAGAAAAATTGTACAAACGTTCTGAAAACAAACCTTTTCCAACAAAATTCTAATAGCGTATGGCCAGCTTTAGTCGCAGAGGTCACTATGACCTTGACTTGCTGTATACTCTCTCAAGTGGCAAAGCTTTTTGAAGAAAACATGACAGAGGTACTGTACAGCTTTCTTATTTGAGCTCAATCTAGATAAGCAATATAGCTTAACTGGCTCTCTACCCCAGCCTGTGATTAGACAATGAAGATTCATCTCTCTCCTATCAGCACATGTGCATTCAGCAGAGCCCAATTTGCTCAGAATGCAATGGGATTAGTAGAGATTCCTATAAAGAAAATTTCAGGGGGAAAAAAAAAAGACATTTCTACAACATCAATTCCTCGCTGGCTGGAATGCTGCAGAATCTTAGGAGGAATCAACAAAATGGCTGTATGTATTATTTCCTTCTGTAGCATATGCTGGCAAGTTGTCACAATACATTTAACATATTGAAATTGAAAAAAAATTCCAGTTCAGCTTTAATTTTAAATTGGTTACCAGTTCTCAACCCCGTTAGAAATTTCTTTGCATAGTTACATTCTTTAAATTGCTCTACAAACATCTAGTCATCTAAACCACAAATACTTTCTTCCCACTATATGGAATGGGATCCTGGACATTTTTTAGCTGGCCCAAGAAAACTATGAAACGCCTTCATTCCTGAACACATACAAATCTAATGCCCAGTCATTCATGCACACAAATCTACCTGAACCGTATAAAAAGCAACCACTTAAGGAGGTCATTAACAGCCTCACCTCCATCCATCTCTGTGCCTCCGAAAATGCTAAATCACATGAGACTTCTGAATTTTCATTCCACTCCATGGCTATCTGGGGGACAGAAACACAAAACGATACAAACATTTTTATACAGAAATTATCACGACTGCAGGTAATGTAACCCTTTTATGTCCAGGGGTAATTAAAACCTTAGTGACCAGATCAAATTTTGAGTGCACCGATTTACTTTTAAGCGCATTGAATACATTTTTAACTTCCTTGAATATATACATGCTATAGACAGAGAAATGGACAAAAATGTGAAAACAAAATAGTTTGACTTTGTTAAAATGTGATTATATCTATATATCTATATACTAAATAATTCACCCTGTATATCCCAAATATGTGCGATACATATGTCGGTGCCATCCGGTCAATATATTTTGGATTTCTAGATACAAGGCATTTTCCAGTACAATGGCTGTAACTTACTGAGCTGCCTGGGTGACTGCACTCAACAATTACAAATATTTCTAGGCTCAAAGGTTTTTGTGTAGCGGCAACACAAAAGAAGAAAATACCCATAACTGGCACAGTGCCACTGGTATGTAGAAGTGATACAGTGGCTTTTCCGTTGCCTGGATCACTTCTTCATAGATTGCAGAAGCAGCATGGTTAGGAGTAAACACACATGCTCGTAGGTTTGTTTTCAACCATTGTCTGCCCACAGTTATCAGTTATGATGGTGGTAATGAAGGGGTTAACCGGGTGGGGGGGTGTAGAGTTTAGTTGGGAAGACTACAAATAAATTGCTCAACAAAAGAACAAATATAAAAATTGAAAATGTTATACAATATACCTTTTCTGTATAGTGAATTTAGATCACCATTTTATTTATATTCTACACATTTATGAACTAATCTGTTAACACGTGTGGCTGGCAGGGAGACAAGTTTGTTGGCCAGATCTGTTCAGATATTGCCAGAGAATACATTTGCCCATTATCATGAACGTGAAGAATGTCTTCGGCATGCCAGAAAACCTTCAACAAACCTCATGCTCAGTCCATCAAATCATGTCATGCTTGACCTGTCCCACCTACATCCAGTTATGACCAAAGATGGTACAAAAAGCAGGCAGATAACCGCTTTCCTAAGAGATTCTAGACCACTGCTTGGTCAGGAATGAGTCTCAACCCTCAAGGACATGAGATAGACACCCACTCCCCCTTCTATGCTTCCAAGAACAAAAGGCTTAAAGTAGTCTACATGTGCTAGATTAACATGCTGTACTTTTACTATAGAAAAGTCAAGGACCAGAACCTGTATAGGTGATACAGAGTACCTCTGACTGCTTTAGCGGCATATTATAACAAGATGCAGTGCACAACCCAACTGATAAATAGGGATTATTTTAGCATGAATGTGATTTAAGTGTATGGGGCCAGAAAAGTGACTCAGGTGTCATCAACAGGCACCACTGAAAATAATGGGATTCTTCATAAAATGCAATAAAGTGTTGTGCTTAGGGCTGCAACCAACTAATCAATTATGGATGAGAATAGTCGTCAACTATTCTCATTATCGATTAGGTGGTTGGAACCCCTAGCTCTCCTCCACACTGGGAGAAGGGCACAGCAAGCAGTGGGCGGATGAAACAGCCAGTCTGCTATTGCAATTTGAAGTGGCCAATAGCAGGCTGGTTATTGCCCCAGCCCACTACCTGCTGTATTTACATTCAGCTGTCGTCTGCGGAATCTTGCTACTGGCAGCTGTCATTCCCTGGCTGAAGCTATTAAGTGCCATGTGTTTACATTTTTTCTTCTTTTTTTAAATACACACCCATGTTGATACATATCCAGTAATGGTGGCTATCCTGTAGTGAAGAAGTGTTGATACTGTGAAAATATATAGAGAGAAAAACATACAAAATATTCCTAAAGACCTGTAGGTGCTCCTACTGCAGTGTCCACACAGTGTATGATACCAGTCCAAAACAATTGCTTATATAAAACTCCAAATAATGTGAAACAGTCACACATGAAACCAATTTCTTTAGTGCTTCAAAAAAAGAACGAACACACACACACACACACACACACACACACACACACACACACACGTGAATCAACCTTCTCGCCTTCAGATGAGACCCTTATTTAAAAAAGGTCAGAATGGCAGTACCCTGTTCCACACCTGTAGGGTTTAACCTTAAAGGCACAGAATAGGCTATTCAACCTCAATAATCATCCACTTCTCCATAGCACTGCCCATACCATTCAAAAATAGAATAAGCTTTAATGAAAAAGGTACTCGGGAGTTAAAATAGTGCTTTCAACTACAATCCACCAGCAACAGACCAACAAAAATACTTTCCACACTTCCAGGGCGCATTCACCATATGGTACTTCCACCTCGCGTTGACAAAGCTCCACCCTGTCAATGACGACTTTGTCAATGGCTCTCATGCTGAATGCGCCCGGAAGTGTGCAAAGTATTTTTGCTGGTCTGTCGCTGCTGGATTGTAGTTGAAAACGCTATTTTAACTCCAAGTACCTTTTCATTAGGCCTGATTCACACCTGGGCGTTTTACAGCGCGTTCCTACGTGCTGTAAAAGGCTCAACATGTGAAAACCAATAAATTGCCTATGGCCATGGTTCCCACCTGGGCCCTACGCCCAAAGAAGTACAGAAACTTCTTTGGGGCGTTTTTCCGCGCGTTTCCATTGGTATTCCCAAGTGTGGATTGGGGTTAACAAAGCGTACCGAAAAAACGCGCTGAAAAAAAAATACGCTCAGGTGTGAACCCAGCCTTAAAGCTTATTTCATTTTTGAATGGTATGCGCTGTGGTGTGTTTTTCCTTTGTTCATCCATGCATCTGAGCAAGTTTATTACAAAGTGGATGACCATTGAAGCTGCCGAGGTTGAACAGCCCATTCTGTGCCTGTAAGGGTAACCCCTACTGGTGTGAAGCAGGGTACTGCCATTCTGTGCCTGTAAGGGTAACCCCTACTGGTGTGAAGCAGGGTACTGCCATTCTGTGCCTGTAAGGGTAACCCCTACTGGTGTGAAGCAGGGTACTGCCATTCTGTCCTTTTTATATAAGGTTCTCATCTGAAGGCGAGAAGGGTGATTTCCTGGAGCACCTGCACAGGTTGAACACGTTCGAAGCACTAAAAGAAGCTGGTTTCATGTGTGACGGTTTCACATTAGGAATTTTGGACTGGTATACACTGTTGCAATAGGAGCACCTACAGGTCTATGGGGAATTTTTTTCTGTTTATTCTCTCTGTATCAACAGTACTTTCACTTGGTTTTTTTTCCTTAAAATGGGATTCTTCATGATGAGCATTGCCACACTTCAGGAAGCGCATGACAAAACACTCAGGTGTGAAATGGCACCAAGTTATGGTTGTTAAACATGAGTGATAGCAGGAGGATGATTATTGATCATGCACCAGTATACATCTACATACAATCTCAAATAAAGAAGTGATAAGAGTTATTTAAACATCTATTGCCACAATCTGGTCCATGTAGAGGTCAAAAGGAAAGCGATCAACAAATGTTTTCCCATTGTGAGATAGGGGTCATGGGAACCTGCATACAACTGTTTGCCGATTATTCCCCTTACTACAGCAAGGCGAGTCCAATAGTTTCACCAGGTCAGGCACATCTCTCCACACCCTTCATTCTCAGTGACATATCTGCCTAACTGTGGCCAGTCAGAGAACCACTTATACAGTAAAGCCCTGATATAAGAAGTGTGTTTTCCAAGTGCTATAGTAAACAGATAAAGACATTGAACACAATGGATGAAATAAACTAACTTTGTTTACAATGCAATGTAGTCTCATTACTTGGTAATTACACAAGCTGCACATGATGTATGTGACAACACCCCCAACAACTAGGCAACCAGGGGAAGGTTAGTCTTTCTTGTAAGCAGTCTTTCTTGTAAGTTCATTAGAAGATATACAACAATGTGTAATTACCTAGCCTTCTGTGGTACAACTACCATCACCAAGGGCTTTGTCACAACAGTAGCACATACCAGTGTAATCATGTACTATAGTGTGCTAAAAAGGAAGAGTAATGCTAAAGAAAAAAAAAGTGCAATTCACATGGTTAATGGCTTAACGGGGGTTTATTTACTAAAGGTGTGAGGCTGTTAACCCGGCAAATGCACGACCACTGTAATAGTGTTTACTTTGCAAAGTAAGTGTTAAGAAATATGGTGAACCTGTGCTCACTGTGAAAAAACAAAATTGGTGAA